TGCGCACTGTTCCCTACTAAAATTAACTTGAAAGTTTAGTTCAATGTTCCTGTTCTTACGGTCCTCGAAGACTTAGAGAACCGATGTTGCAGGTCTATAAGCCATAGACCATGATTCAAGTGAGTCAACAGTCTCACTAGAATCATAGTGTATCTACTGAGTCAGTAGTCTCACTAGAGTCATAGTGTATCTAGTATAGTGCATCCACTAGTCTCCCTGGTGGATCATCAACTAGGGAACGGATAAAGGAAAAAAATGTAACGCATGCGAAAAGGTTTAATTAATGTAAAATAATTAATCACACGCGTTCCGCTTTCTTAATGCATGCAAAGCACTTCGTCATTATACTGCATCGGTTAACATTCATTAATTAACGGAATACATGTAAAGGCATCAAAAACATTCGCTTGTCGCACGCGTTTCGCTTTCTTAATGCATGCAAAGAACTTCGTCATTATGTTGCATCGATTAACATTCATTAAATAACGGATTACATGTGAAGGCATCAAAAATATTCGCTTTTCGCACGCGTTCCGCTTTCTTAATGAATGCTATGGCCTTGGTCATTACACCGCATTATTTCGAACCCATAAAAAAGTTAGCATGCCTTCAGATGTAGTAAAAAAATTCACTGCTTACGTGCGTTCCATTTTTTAATATATGCGAAGACGTTCACAATTACAGCACGCCTTAACACGCATTAAGATCTGGAACGCGTGCAAAGGCATGACAGATATTCACTGCCTGTGTCTGTTCGACAACTTTTTTAATGTATGTAAAGGCGTTTGTAATTACATTGCACTCCTTTAAACGCATTAAAAACCTTCATTTTAACGCCTTCGGATTTTTTAATGCGAACTAATATCCGCAGGCTGCGAAAACCTTCCGCAGGCTGCGAAAACCTTCTTTTGACACATTCTAAGCCTTCTGAAGGCTTAGTTTTGGCAATTTTTAGACAAAATAAGGCGTTCGGAGACATTTTTGGTATAAAATTCAGATTTAACGCATTGTAAGGTTTCGGACACTATTTCTGACCTGCGACACAGGTTCCATTTTTGTCCTTTTAATGCGTTCACACGTATTAGCGGCGCGAAATTGTCTACTTTAATGCATTCGAATGCCTTATTGTGTCGCACGAATCTAACTTATGAGAACTTCTTAATAGATTAGAAGGGCCTGCGGAGGTCCAAAATTTCTTCCTGGGTACGAAGACAAGTCCTTATCTGTTTATCGTGGACAGTTTATGAGTATGAAAGAACGAAACAAGTTAAAACGACATACAGGCGGATACATATTAATATATACATTTTATCCGCTGCAGTATCAAGTGAAAACGGTTTATTCTATACTGGTAGTAGTGTACAACGCCCGCATATGAATCGGTCATAATCGAAATTGTTATTGGCAAACGTCAATATTTACAGTCCAATAAGAAATTGTTTGCTAATACTAGTAAAAGAAGTCAAATGAAACACGAAGATGAAGTTTTATTTACTGTTGATACAATTTTTCAAGTAAAGTCTTCAAATCTTTGGATTGTGCTATTGAATTTACATAATGATGGAACTGAAGAAATAAATGAAATTGAAAAATGTGATTAAACTTATTTAATTATTTTCAGATGAAAAACCTTTTTTTCGGTCGTCTAATGACTATTCAAAGGAAAAATTCTGTAGAAAATACATTTAGATATGAAAAACTTAGCATAAATCTCAAGCATCGATATTTATTTTATTTGCTTATCATGATGGTTTTTATATTTTATTTTGTTTATCACGTATATAAATTAAATTAGGTTTAGTTTGTCCGTATAATTTGTTTTTGAGAATGCACTTGGCCTAGAGTGAAGTTACTGTTGCAGTTGAGTTGTTATTGTGATTATTATTGTTTATTTGCAAAAAGAACAACTGAACGTAGAATTACAACTCAGTATCAACACTGAAGCGTTGTAGTGGAGTATCTTTCGAGTAGGATGTTTTCATTTTGCTTGATGACTTTTAATATCGCTGTTTTAGACGACGGCACTTCCATTTTTTTATCTTAAAAAACGCTGGCAAAGTTGAAATAAGTGTTGGCATTTTTATCTTGTGATGCCAAGAACGTACATTGTTGCAAGAACGTTGCATTGATGCACGTACATTTTTCCTCTTGCAACAGCAGTCTTTGAAATAACTCTACGGGCGAATTCTTTGCTTTAAACCAGTTTATAATTTATATTAGCAATACTACGTTTTTTAGATTGTGTTTTAGGACAAAATTGGACAAACGTGTTCCGTTCAGAGTTCGTTTCAGTTAAAAACATTAACAACAAAAGAAAAATAAATCATTTTTTCATCTAGATTTAAACGTTTAATTTCGTCGTTTCTTCTTTTTTGTTCGATTTATCATGGTAGTATCATTGTAACATTATTGTCGTCCATATTGTTGTTCATGTCATGTCACTTGGTTTAAATTTTATTGACCGCCGCTATTATCGTTCTTGTCATGCTTTCGTTGTTTTTGGCCATCATTAAAATTCCCACTAAGATCTTCAAATGTCACATAGACATAGTTCAACATGATACTTTCACGAATTTTGATATTGTCCGAATCACTTTCATTTACATTTTCATTCCATAAATCACTTCGTTTTAAATACATTTATTGGAATAGATAAATCGATAATTCGTAATCGTATTCGAATAATAAGATATTTAAGTACATTAATCCATACATGAATATCACGCATTGATGGTGACAATTTTTTATTCAAATATGTTTCTTTTGAAAATTGTTCGATAACAAAAGGCTGGGCGATGTCTCATTTTAATCGAAATTTTGCGGGTTGCAATCATGTCTTATTAAGAAAAATTTCAGTGATTTTTTAGAGTTTCTGAAAAACTGGTTGTCCAGAAAATCAGGTCTTCAAAAGTCATGGAGAAAAATCCTTTTAAGATTTTTACTAGCTCGATACCCTCTACCGATCGACGTATGAACGAACGAAATCGGAAGATATCACTTGAAAGGCTTCCTCGTAAGTACTTTTCACGGTAATAAATCTTCGTTGAACAATTGAAGTTCATAATTTAAAAATGTAAATTTTGTTAAATCGAATGTACATAAATGTTAAGTCATATGTTTGAGTTCAATTTCAACCTCATTAAAATCATATAATATTTTGTTTTACTTTTCTCATAATTATAATCGATATATTCAAATATTATTTACCAGCAAAGACCGAACGTATGCAATTATTTTCGATGCCATTGATCTATGGAAGAAAAACACGAAAGAAAAACGTTTCAGAACATTTTTTTCTTTCATTCTACGCTTATTTTACATTTCTAGCATTTTGACTAATAGACCTCTATTCGGACAGAGATATATCTTTGTTGGCATTTGCTTCACATTTGTCTCATTTTTCTTCACAGGAAAGATAACAGTTGTATTCTCACATTTTGTTTTTCAACTGACAAGTCTGATATATTTAAAAATGAGTGGCAGAGTAACCTGAAAGTGTAAAGTTTACATTGTAAACATATCTTGTTTGAGTAACTGGCCTCTTTTCTCTTTTCTGTGAAGAAAAATGAGACAAATGTGAAGCAAATGCCAAAAAATGTATATCTCTGTTCGAATGCTAGAGGCCTAATAACAATTAAGATGCATCTCGAGAGGAAAGAAAAAAGAACCGAATGATGCACTTATTTTTTGCCTCACTCTATGACAACGCCATTTTCTTTCTGTTCTGTCACATATGTTCAAATATTATTTACTAGCAAAGACCGAACGTATGCAATTATTATTCAGTGTTATTCATGTATCTGCAACGTGAAAGAAAAATGTTTCAATACATTTTTTTTCTTTCATTCTACGCTTACTCTACATTTCCAACATTTTGATTAACAACAACTAAGATCAATCTTGTTTCCGTATACGTACATGTGAGAGAGGGAAGAAAAAAGAACCGAATGATGCACTTACTTTTGGCCCAGCTCTATGATTATGCCATTTTCTTTCTGTTCTGTGGCGGCATACACAAGCTTACAGAAATAAAGAAAAGTCATTTCAACTACATGTTTCCGATTTCATCACCCAAACTTATACAGGAGAAGGATTGTAAACTTCTTCGAAAATTAATAATATGGCCGATTGGCATCCGTATATCCGGTTCGTTATTACTGCTTGCTTGCGTTATCTTTTATACAAGTGGTAAATCAAACATGTGGGGACATGGTTTGCAGTTGGATAAAGAGGATGGTTCGTATGGAAAAGTACATGTTGGCTTGAATGAAATCTGCGATGAAAATGATGTATGTGATGAAATACCGGATGATTGTTCAACATTTGATTCTCATGGAAAATCAAATTGTTTAAGATCGAAAGTAGCAAGAAATAGTCTAATGGCTTCAGTTATATTGTCAGGAGTGGGGGCTCTTTGGTTGTTAACGTTAACCATGGGTGCGAGAAAACATCGACAACTTGTAATGGTATTTGATGCGTTTGTGGCTTTCTTGCCAGTTATTTCGGCCTGTGTCGGATTTGGATATGGAGTTAAACATGCAACGACATTATCGGGATTTAAAATGGGGATAGGCGCCGTTTATGCACTAATTGGTGGTTTTCTCTGCTTGATAAGCACAATAATTTGTGCTGTGATTGCCGTTTTGGAACGAAACAAAGTAGAAGTACCCGAACTACCAGTTGCAACAGATGAACATGTTGATGATAATACTTAAATGGAATTAGAGAGGAACTGTGCTGCGCAGAAGCTACGATGTCGACAAATTCTGTCTCTGCTAGCAACTTCCAAAATAAACAGATTGATCACAAATATGATACTTAATTACAAGGAAAACTGCTGTGCGGTGGTAAGTGTTGACGCTGTGAGCCTGTAAAATATACAAACAAAACATCTAAACACAAAAATCGCAAACGTTAAGTTTATAGAGTAGACTTAAAATAGGAGTTTTGTAGAGGATGGAACAACGGTCAAAGGCAACACTCAGACGGGGTTTAAAGTCTATATGTGCTTAAATATGGCAACAATCGAGTAAAACGTCTTTGAGTTAGGTACCTGAAAGAAAACAAGATGTGGTAGCAACTAGATCGTAGTAATTAGAGTTTCTGTGTTTTTGAAGTCAATACTCCAGATCGTTTCAATAATCAATGAATTTCTAGGTGTTCGGTATTCCTTCTGTTGTGAAATAACAAGTCGTCTTTTTCCTCCTTTATTCTTCCTTCTACTAACATAAAATTCTCAGTAATTTATGTTTTTATCATAAAGAACAAATAATTAAAAAAATTATTTTTCTTTCTCTGAATAAATGGCGCCGAACAAAAAAATAACAATAATTATCTAAGTCCGAAACATATTTTTCTTCCACTTGTGCAGCTTATAGCGCCGAATCTGGACTTTTATTTGAGAGAAAAATGTGCATTGATCAATCTCCATTTTCGGGAGATTATCTTCCCGTTGTGAGAAGTTTTCTGCGTAGCGTACTTCTCTAGACCATGTGGCGCACATTTTGCAAAAATAGAAACAAAATTCCCAGCAAAAACACAACATGTCTATCGACATAAAAAAAGGGGCCTCTAAGAGCCCTTTTTTACGGCTGAACCATGTACAGAAGTTGCGGCTTTTTGGCAACCTATAACCTAACGTATAAAAAATTTAGCAATCTAATTTTTTACTTACTTGTTGAAGACATTTTCAGGTTAGTTAGACGTTATTTGTGTAAAAGTATACAGAAGGAAGAAGGGGAAGCAAGAAGAGAGAGAATAGCACAGAAACATGCAATTTTTTACGCATTTTCTTTATGAATGGGCAGAAATTTTAATACGCATAATAAAGTAACAGCAGTAGTCTTCATTTTAAATAAAATGAAGATTACTGCTGTTACTTTATCATGCGTATGCAATTTTTTGTTAAACTTTAAACTATTTTCAATAGCACCAGCTTCCGGAGCATAACAAAATACCTATATCTAGGAAATTTCATAGAGAAACGATGACTATTATCGAAATTATGAATATGAGAGGTAACACACAGAAGGTTTTGAAGTGGTAAAAGCCGGAAAATTTAGATAATGTCCATGTTAGGTCATGAGACCTAAAGCGGACTACGTCTTAACGCTATTGCACTGATATATAAAAGAAACATTCCCCTTCAGAACCGTATTTCCACTGTAGTCATTACCTGATCACACCTTCCTATGACACTACTATTTATGTTACACCAAGTTTTTTTGCTATGTTATCTTTCCTATTGTATCTTGTATATCCTTCTCAACTATATATACATAGGCTTATATTTGTACAAGGATGTGCTTTTGATTTCTCAATAAACCATTTGTACATACAACATAGGTTTCGAACAAGTTAGGTGAAGCCTAACAACTGTTGACAATAGTGCTTGCTGTGAAAATTACACCATCACAATAAGACGAACTCGAATTTACAAGTGGCTATTTGTGGATATTTGACATTTTAAGGGACATTCACGAGTAATATAGCCGATCGAACATGATCAAAAGCGAACAAAGTACCAGATTCAAATATTGTACAAGACCATCCAACGCCTCCAAAGTTATTGGCAGATTTACTTACGAATCCAGATAATACTCAACAAAGTATCTGTGACTCACAGATGGTTCGTCATCATGACGAACCATTTCGGGATAATAAGGAACTTGGCGGATTTGGTGATCCTCCTTGAAACAAGACGCTAAGTATACAGTTTTGTAGAGTAGCTGAAGGCGCAACGAGCGGTATATAGCGAAGTTCGTTTTTATATCAGCATACAGGATCTAGAGTCAATTTTCTAGTCGACCGTCACTATAGCCATCTGAACCTATATCGATTTTAGTGCCAGTATCAAAACATCTCAATGTTGTACGTACACTTGTTGTACTTGGTGGCATAGACGTTAACAATACCACGCGTACAGTAGATGTGTGGTCGAGAGATTATTGGTTGAGTTTACTTGGTGTAGCATGTCAGAATGAACAATTGGAAATGGTAAAGTTTCTTTTAGAATGTGGTAGTGATGTGTACAGTGTGCGAAAGACTCTACAAATAAACAGTCTAGAATTCACAAGTCTTATGAGGCATGTGGAAGTCGATGTTCTAATATTGTTAAATATTTGATAAGTATAGAAGGCAAAAAATTATCAAATACAGTCAACTATATGGGCTCAAGTGCTTTACATACAGCAGCGGGTAAGGGATATATCGATATGGTTACATTATTGATAAAAAATTGTGCAAAAATTTTATGGAAGAATGATGGAAATACACCGATGATGTATGCACATGACAACTTAGATAAGATTGAATATTTTATTGACTTGTATGACTCCTTTGTATGTATCTTCACAATCTATTGATGAATTTGGACTAGTTGATGCTTCTTATGCAATCACCACGACGGTTGTGAGTTTCCGACGACGTCGTGAATTTCCGGAGAATGTAGAGAAAGCTTACCACTACCACCAATGGGTAATGAAGTTACGATATCAGGATGATTTTGGTAAACCTATTGTCAAAACTGACTTTCGACTTCCAATTGCAGCCTATGACTATACTGAATGTGAAACTATTCAACAGTTAGAAAATGTTCGATATGATTCGAATCATGTGGTATTGGAAGGTTTTATGATACGTGAGCGACTGTTGCACAATATAATAAAACATATACATTCTGGCTAAAATGGCTAATATCATTTTTTTTGTCAAAAATGGTCAGCTTTTCAAAAAAATTATCCCAGGGGATTTGATGGGATTTTTTCGCTCGTCGCATCCCATGTCATCCCACCCCNCAAATTTCAACAATTTTTTTTTGGCGTACAAAAGTGCAAGACATATGACTTTCAAAAAGAATTTTGCTCCCTCTGAATCCATAGCTGGTTCCGAATATCGTTCTAGTCGCGTGCATTCCCGAACAATTATCTTTTTTTTATATATTTCTTGAATTCTGATTAAGTTGTAATTTTTATACAGTGTTTCGCTCTGCGTCTCGATTCGTAGTATAGGTAATTCTTTTTGATTGAGACGTGAACTGAGATATTGATAGTTCAAAAATTCCTTGATTTCGAAAGAAAGGCTGGCTTTTTTATTTCACAAAAAGTTATTTAAAAAGGTTCGAAAACAGGTATGGAAAAATCGAACAATTCTTGATTAAAATTAGCAAGCAACTGAATTGTTATAGACCTAAAAATATACTCGATGACAACAACGGTTTTTAAGCTAAATAACGGTAAGTGTGTTTTCATTTGCTACTCGTTCCAAAAATTCTTTTTCAATTACAATATCGATACACTTCTAAAATAAAAAACAAAGAAGAACGCCATTTATCTCTCTTTCTTGTATTTGAAAAGTCTGAACGAAGTTGAACTCTATTTTGTGAAACTCCTCCAACATACATTGTTTCAAATAAAGGGATGAAGTTTTTAAGTTTACATAGTTTGGATAGCATTTATTCCCTATTTTGTGGGCATTTTTTCCCTACTACACCTCCCATCTAGTATCCTGTGAAAGCAAGCTTTTTGCGATAAACTCCATATGTTCGGCTTTATTTATTTTCAACCGATCACCTTTGCGATTTTGTCAGGTGACTTTTGTGGATGAGGCCACCACAAACGATTGAAGAGACCTTCACAAAAAGCAAACAAGTGAGGAAAGGAAGGAATGAACTGTCTGAAACGAGCACTTTTCCTAATGAAAGTTCTTTATATTTCTTGCGCATTTTTTAAAACTTTACGCCTTTTTTAAAACTTCGCTAGACGATGAGAACTGTCAATCTTACGCTGAAAAGTACTTTTTTGAGTATTAGTCATGCAGCTCGCATTTTGATCACCAAATTAAGTAATGTTAAACAACACAGTGATCAATAGAATCTGGTAAGTCTCTCGCACAATTTAAATCACTTCGAATTAGAAATGCATTTCTTCTGTAGCATAAGATATGATGATCTACTGAAATTTCACCAGATACTCTGGACAGGTTAGAGTCCAAAAGTTTTACCCTGTCTTAATCTCATGGCGTTAAATTCAGTTCGACCTGCAGAGTTTTCTAGGACAAGCGAAGAAACATCGATCTTGCACACTGTTCTTTAATATTATTACTACCTTTACTCCTTTTACTCCATTTACCCTCTTTACTTTTCTGTTTCACGCATATCAGAACTATTACCCTCACTCTCACTTTCTAACTAAAAGTAGTAAAAGGAGCAAACGGAATAAAGGGGCTAAAGGAAGCAAAACACTAAAGGACATACTCAGTCATCTGTCAGTATCACTTTTCCATAGCTAAAAAGATTTCGGGCCACTTTTGTACCTTCTCCCACCTTTGGGCTTCGCGTATTCTCAAGTTTTACTCCTAAAGAGCAAAAAAGTTTAAAGTCTGTTATAATAGATATCATTATTGGTAGAGTTTTAGGATCGACAGGAATATCGACCCAAACTTTGTTAATCAATGAATGAAAGATTGAATGGAGTGAACGGAAGGTCTTTCGTTGGAGAAAGCACATGTGGCTAGAGGCTAATGGAGTCCGATCGTTTATATTTTACTTTTCAAATTTATTATCAGAGTCAAAAGTCCAAAACTAGAAAATGTCTCATTAAAATTTGCATAAAGATATTTATCTGACTACAAATCTAAACCAAATCTCAAAAATCGGGCTCTATTAGCCTCTAGCCACATGTACCAGCTTCAATTTAAGACCTTTCTGAGCTCTCTG